CTATCAGCGGTGTCATGACAGGTCTGCCTTTTACCCATGATCCTCCTCTCCACCACTGCATGCTCGGACCCCGGCTCTTATATTTTCTGCCCACTCAGCTCGCCACGTGAGGAGTAATTACAGCCGCCGTCTGCCCGCCCAGAGGCCAGTAATCCTACAGGGAACAAATCCCACCCGCCCTGCCCACGAGCACCGAGCAACCCCCCCCCCTCTGCTGGGTCGGTTCCAGACAGATGTTGAACTTCACAGCTGGATGGTGGACACGTCTTTGATCAGCGATGGTATCAGCGTTGCCACGAGCAACATCTGGCTGATGCGCTGGATGCTGTTTGTCTAATTAACAGAACAATGACACAGAGTAGATTGCTGGAGGAGAAATATGAGGCAGTGTTTGTACTTTCACTAAAGTTATTACACACAAATAAATAATAATAATCACAATCTGTTGCCATGAAGTTGAAAGAACACTAAAATATTACACACTGACAGTGAAGTTTACCCTTTTAAATGATCCAGTTTGGAGGATTTAGTGGCGTCAGGTGATGGATTCAACCCTGAATCAGAATAAATTCTGTTACACAAATGTATAAAGTTTTATGAACATAAAGACTTTTTTATTCACTTTATTAAAAATCACTAAATATCTTTAAATATAAAATATAACTTATTCTTTAGCTGGATCAATTCTCTGTAGTCCAGCTTGTCATCATCATCTTCATCTTCATCTACCATCATCCAAATATCATGCCTCATCTTCATCTTCCATCCTTCATCTTCGATCTTGTATTACCATTAACATATTCATCATCTTCAATCTTTATCCTCCATCACATCAGTCATTCTGCCCAGTCAGAATCCCAGCCTCTGATTTGGGTTTGAGAGCTGATTGTTATAAGTATAAATTATAATTCTATATAATGATGTCAGGAGTTAATTTAGAGAGTAAAATAAAGATTGTAGCAGCAGGTTTAAAGAGAAACGCAAATAAATATAAATAAAATAATTTGTGTATTTTATAAATATAATATCTAATAATGAAATATGTATTTGCCATGTTTACTTTAACATAAAAAATACTTAATACGAAATACTGAATCTAATGGAATAATTAACAACAACAACATACAAATCTAATTACTATCAGCAATTAATATAAGTAAGGAAATACATTCAGAAGTTGTTTTTTACACTGCAGTATATCATATTGATTGTAGTATTATCCAACAGGTCTCTGTGTGTGAGTGTCGTGACTGTGTGTGTGTGTGTGTGTGTGTGTGAGTGGTGTGTGTGGTGTGTGTGTGTTGGTGTGAGTGTGTGTGTGTGTGTGTTGTGTGAGTGTGCGTGTGAGTGTGTGGTTGTGTGAGTGAAGTGAGTGTGTGTGTGTGTGTGTGTGTGAGTGAGTGTGTGTGTGAGTGAGTGTGTGTGTGTGTTGTGTGCTGTCAGCCTCCCTTGACATTAATCCTCATTGAAATATTGCCAGGCGAGAGAGAAAATCACTTGAAAAGGTTTTGTTTTTGATTAAATAGTATACGGATGATTAGGCAGGGTTTATCCCGAACCTTCCACAGTATGGGAAAAGGCCTGCAGGGTGAGGAAGGTCAGTCATCACTAACACTGATGATCTGCTGTTTTTCCACTGGAATTCATATCATTCAATCAGGAAGATGATGAAAAAAATCTCAGCCGCAGTGCTGAAATACTCTGTAAAAGTTCTGTATGAATAAACTGTATTTATTATTTTCAGTATTATTAATAAATTAAAATACATGATTCACAGTTTTTTCTGAAAGACTGTAAAATGTGGTTGGAAGCTCTGGAAAAAGCTAGTAAGTGGACCCTTAGCGATATGCAATCACGTAATATTTTTAATTAAGACAGAATGACAATAAACATCCAATAATAAAATAAATATATAACACTGTAATAAAAGAATTTTACAATACAGATAAAGCCAAGATTAATCCTGATTCTAGTATAATATTAACATATATATATATATAATACTATAGACAACACATATTACCACAACATGTAACTGCAAATCAAATTAATAAAATAGATTTAAAAGTTAAATTAATTATTATTAATATATCAAAAGATACATAACATACATATAAATAATATA